AAAAAAACTTCCTGAAGAGGACGTTTTCTATGAGTGCGTACCTGGCAGCTTTCATCCGAAGTTTTCTCGCTTCTACCAGATCTGTGGGTTGCGTTCCTGCCGTTAGATGATTTACTTTTGGTGTCATCCACGTCACCTCTAAGTTGACTTGCATAACCCGAGGTTCAACAACATCCAGACTGGGGCTTTCCAAGCATTCTACAGATATGACCCTTGTTGAATCCTCACCTAAAGCTGAGGCGGATGCCGCACATGCCAACTGGTCTGCTCGTCCATTCAGCTCTCTCGAAATCTGCTTCAGTTCGAACTTCTTGAATTGTTGAGACAAACGCTTTGATAGTTGTTGATACGCCTCCATCCTTTCGTCCTTGGTCGTGTATTCCTCCTTTGATTGATTGACTATAAGTTGGGAGTTACTGTACACCTTCAAATTACATATCTTCAGAAGTTCGGCAATTTTCAATCCCAATACCAAGGCTTCATATTCAGCAACATTGTTTGAGGTGGGGAAATCCAATCTGATAGAGTATTCTAGCTCTATTCCTTCCGGCAAAGAAAGGATGATCCCGACCCTGGCCCCTGCCTGGTTGGATGAGCCGTCTGCATATAACTCCCACGGTGTTTCCTTGTTGCACCCTGCTCCTATTGTATCCCTTTGTTTCTCATACATTCCTTCTATGGGATAACATTCGACAAGAAAATTAGCAACTATCTGTCCTTTTTTAGATGTTCTCGGTTAGTACCTGATGTCAAACACTCCTAACTCGATCGTCCATTTTGTGACTCTACCCGACAGATCTAGCTTGGACAAGATTACTTTAATAGGTTGATTCGTGAGCACTGTAATGGTATGAGCCTCAAAATATTGCCGGAGTTTCTTCTTGGCTACTACCGATGCCAAGACAAGTTTCTCGGCTGGAGTGTATCTCTTCTCAGCATCAATCAGGCTCTTGCTGACATAGAAAATAGGTTGTTGGAGGTAGTTCTCTTCTCGAAACAATGTTACGCTTACTGCAGCTTCAGTTACGGCAAGGTAGATATACAACATCTCTCCTGGCTTTGGTATAGTTAGGATTGGGGGACTTGTCAAGTATCGTTTCAGTTGATCAAAAGCTTCCACTTGCTCTAGCCCCCATACCTCATATTTTCTATTCTGGATTGCCCGGAAGAAGGGTTTGCACCGGTCGGACAAACGTGAGATGAACCGACTTAGTGCCGCTATCCGCTATGTTAGCACCTGCACTTCTCTTGGAGTCTTCGGGCTTGACATGTTCCGTAACGCCTCCACCTTCTCTAGGTTTGGTTCAATGCCCTACCTATTCACAATGTGCCCCAAAAATTGACCAGATGAGACACCGAAAGCACATTTGGTTGGCTTCACCCTCATCCGATATTGCCTCAACATGTCGAAGATTTCCTGAAGATGACTTAGGTGCTGAGTTTTCACTGCACTTTTGACAACCATGTCGTCGATATAAACTTCCATTGTCTTCCCAAGTTGGTCTTTGAACATCTGATTCACCAACCGTTGATACGTTGAGCCTGCATTCTTCAAACCAAATGGCATCACCATGTAACAATACAAGCCACGCTCGGTGATGAAGGTTGTTTTTTCTTGGTCTTCAACTGCCATTGGGATTTGGTTGTACCCTGAGTAAGCATCAAGAAAAGTTAAAAGTTCATTCCTAGCTGTGGCGTCCACTATTTGATCAATTTTAGGCAGCGGGTAGCATTCTTTCGGGCAGGCTTTGTTTAAATTCATGTAATTGACACAAACTCGCCATTTTCCTTTCTTCTTAGCCACAACCACCACATTAGAGATCCATGTCGGGCACCACATGTCACAGATGAACCCAACCTCCAGAAGTCTATCCACTTCGTCACTAATGATCTGATTTCTCTCTGGCATTAACCTCCTTTGCCTCTGCTGGTGTGGTGGGGGTCAGGGTCCACGTTTAGGTGATGACACGCGACACTGGGATCAATTGTAGGCATATCTACATGTGACCATGCGAGCATGTCCTTATTATTCCTCAAGAACTAGATGAGACACTACCTTTCGGTGTTGGATAGGAGGGAGCCCACCAATACTTTTCTATCGGGATCAAAAGGATCCAATATCTCCTCCCTTACTGGTTCAATTGTGGGGGGCTTTGGATCGTCCTCCTGCTCTATTGGTGGGTCCTCCATTAATTGCTAGAATTGCTGGTTCAGTTGTGGCTACGTTTTGGCTGCATCCTTGAGGTCGGTCGCTATATTGTAACACCTTTTGGCTTTGAGTTGATCCCTTTTGATACCGATAATACCAAGACCATCGTTAGTCAAACATCTCATCACTTGGCATCTGGTTAATGTCTCGTCATCCATTCTATGGATCCAATCTCTCCCCATGATCACATTGTAGGCACTCGGAGCGTCCACCACCACGAAAGTTACCAACAGAGTTTTTCCGGCAGCTATGACGGGTAGTGTCACGTCTCCTATTGCTCGTGCCTTGCTGCCCTCAAATGCGAAGAGTGGTGTGGGATTAGGTCTGATCCTGCTTTCATCCAATTTCATTCTTTTAAAAGTGTCCCAAAACATTACCTCAGCACTGCTTCCATCGTCGATCATAACCCTCCTGACTTTCGAATTTCCCATTTGAAAAGTCACAACCAGTGTGTCGTTGTTGGGAAATTGGATTCTTTCAAGGTCTCGCTCGGTAAATGAGATGATCCCGACCTTCTCCAATGACTAGGCCGATTCTGGTGCTGAAGCAATTCCACAAACACGTCTTAGCTTCTCAGCTTGTCTCTTCTCGGTTCGGGCTTGAGCCAGTTGACCCTCTGGTGGATGAGGCCGGCCATGGATGACATTAATCTCCAACAACCCCTCTTCAGCGGCGATGTTGTTGGTCATCGGTTCAGCCGTGCGCTCCTCCTTCGGCTTATCTTCTGGTTAGGCTCGATATTGCCAAACCATCCCTTTTTTCAGCATTGCTTCAACTTGGTATCTGAGATTCCGACAGTCGTTGGTAGTGTGGCCAAAGTCATTATGATGAGCACAAGTCTTCCTTCGGTCTCGTTTTTCTGGCGGTTCCCGTAATGTCAGAGGCGTTCGGAAAATTCCTTTGTCCTTATTTTCGTGGAAAAGCTTAGCCAGACTGACAGTAAGTTTGGT